CTCCCCCCTCCCCGAATCCAATATTTTAAACTATTTTCTCATTTTTTTACATAAGAAGAAAAATTCTTCTTTAATCGTTATGTGCGCATGCAAGAAAACTTTCTTTGGTTTCAAATACGTAATCAACTATATGTTTTAGAAGGTACAAATGTAACATAGGAGCACTCTGATGATGACAATTTTAACAATGTCAATGGGGGATTTTGAAATCAATTCTGTTCCATCCACGACGGCATTGTGATTTCTAGAAGTGCATTGTTGAGTTAAAATGTCTTAGGAGTAACCCCAGTTTTCGTTTACAAATATGTTTCGCTAATGTTAATCACAATATAGAACAGCTAAAAAACACCATAAAACGCAGCCAATCTTGAGTGTAGAAACATAGCTCTGATGTTGTTGACGGTTAATATTTTATAGAATTCAGATGGAGGATTTCCTTGGTTCTTTTCCAAAAACAGTTTGTTGCTAAATTTTACGTGGGATAAAGTTATCGTCATATTATGCATTGTATTGTACTTCCGTTTAGTGAGAAGATCATGCTTGCGCCAAGTGTCACCATTAATGCTAAACAGCCGGTGTGCTATTATCATATCAAACTACAATAATAAGTCTGTTAAACGACATCAATTATTTTACTCGTGTTTACAACAGACAATCATTTTTAAACAGATATTTTAATATGATTGTAACCTGATGGCGCAATTTTCTTATCAACTTTGTGTATTTTTAATAACATTGAAGATTATTCACTTAATTAAATTTGAAAAAGTTTCATTTCGTTACAAAATCCTTTTTTCTAATGGCATGTTTTGTATAACTTCCTTTGACTCACTTGAATATTTTCAATTACAAAAAGCTGAAAAATCAATTATTTTTTGTTAAGCTCACAACTTTAATTGACAACGACGTTTAGTCAGAACCCTGTTGACAGCTACTTATTGTCAGGAACCTGTTGATACCGACATATTGCCAGGAACCTATTGACAAGGACGTATTGTCGATTGCTATTTGATAACAATGTATTGTTAGGAACCTGTCACGACGACGCTTTGTCAAGAACCTGTTGACAACGGCGTATAGTCAGAACCTGTTCACAACGACATATTATCAGGAACCTGTTTACAACGACGTGTTATCAGGAACCAGTTCACAACGACGTATTATCAGGAACCTGTTGATAATGACGTTTTGACGGAAACCTGTTGACAACGACATTTTTATCGAGAACCTGTCGACAATGACGTATTGTCAGGAACATGTTGACAACGACGCATTGTCAGTAATCTGTTGACAACGAAGCATTGTCCAGTACCTGTTGTCAAAGACGTTTTAAAGGGAACCTATTGACAACGACGCATTGCCAGGAATCTGTTGACAACGACGCATTTTCAGAAACATGTTGACAACGACGCATTGTCAAGAACTTGTTGACAACGACGCATCGTCAGGAACCTGGTGACAACGACGCATTGTCAAGAACCTGTTGACAACGACGCATTGTCAGGAACCTGTTGACAACGACGCATTGTCAGGAATCTGCTGACAACGACGCATTTTCAGGAATATATTGACAACGACGCATTGTCAGAAACCTGTTGACAACGACGAATTCTCAAGAACCTGTGGACAACGACGACATGTCAGGAACCTGTTGACAACGACGCATTGTCAGAAACCTGTTGACAACGACGTATTATCAGGAACCTATCGACAGCGACGCATTGTCAGGAATCTGTAGTTAACGACCTCGCTAGGAGTCTATTGACAACGACGTTTTTGTCAAGAACCTGACGACATAGAGGTTTTGTCGGGAACCAAACCATAATATACCTAATAACATATTACTTCTATTGATTGTCAATGTGTTTATGAGATTTTACCGTGAAATTAATGCATTTTGTTCATAATGAAATATTTTCTTAAACATTCCCGGCTCTTCTCTATTGAATCGATCATAAGTGTTTGTTATATATTGCAACGCGTTAAATAGAAGTATGTATAAAGAAATTGAGATTTCTTCCTTGCTGAAAAGATTATGCTGAGCTTACAAAAAGATGTTAATGTTTTCATAATTAGCTTAATTACAATATCTAGCTTACAGAAAGTAAAGTGGACTACAAATAAATTGAAGAAATGTGGGAAGGGAAACAACCCGAATTTACTGCAGGTAACACATAATGCTGTAGTAGAGAGTTATCCGTCTTTGGTGGGTAATGGAAAAAAAAATACATACAATATACATGAATTGTATGATTGCATTTCAGTGATATTTATAATCGACCTTCGTTTTACGAATTTGGAAATAGCTCACTGATAATACAAAACCTAGATGTAATATTTTTGCAGAAATTACCACGTCCAAAATGCATTTATAATTCGAAACAAGTCAAATAACTGGTCATGCGCAATCTAGATGTAATATTGTTTGAGTATAATCGATGCCTTGTTTATGTTAAGATAAATATAGGTACTGCCTAGTTCTAAAAATGGAGGCTATGAATCAAATCGTGATTAATAATTCTCCTTTTAATAGAGAATACATAGACAGTGTGTCAATTGATCTAGTTTCTCTGGTATACCGACTGTCCAGTCCTTGTTACTGTATATATGTCCATGTAACAGAGTTTCATATTTCACATTTCAGAGTTAATGAGGGCATGCATGCATACTTTAGTTAAAACAATGCAAAGACTAGTAAGTAAAAACATACTGTAGCTGAAATCTATAAAGGGGATTTCTATCCGTTTTTCCCATTTCTTGTAAAAGTATATATTTCAAATAGATATTAGTTCTTCATTTTTTGGTATTAAAATATGTATAATCTAACATCAGTATTTCATATAATTATTATATATTCTGAATATCTACACTTACCTTTGTATGTACAATTAAAACGATAAATGATAACGTTCATTGACTTGTTGTAACAAAAATCAGCGGTATCACATAAGGTACTCTCAATAGATTCAAACATTATCAAACCTAGATTGTTAAGTCAATCTTCGAATAACAAGTGATTCGAGTTGTATCCAGATTCGTTATAACAAAGTTCGGGTGCAGTTATTTTTGAAAAGCAACCAAATGATTTAGGGGAATGAGCAGTAAGCAAATTATTTTTCCGCGAGCCTCCAAGCAAAGATAGATAACTCTGATATAGCAAAACAAAAGTTGCAGTTCGAGTTGTTTCCCTTACTACCTTTTAGATGATGTACACGTATATTCATTTTTCTTTAATCTAGCCTCAGATCATAACACTATCAAATTGAGCCTCACTTATATTCTTGTATCTCGTTAGTTTCTATTGATGGTTTTTTGTACATTAAGTTTTACTTTGCAACGCTCCAGGTCTGACATTATTAATTCGTATTTGTTTGTAGATTGTGAAGAGAGAAAAAAGCCAACCGTCTTTGCATTGGTATTTGTTTGACAAGAACGATACTAGAACATCATATAATTTATTGAAACAATAATTATAGGTAACATCATCCTTCATCCGAGTCATTGACATCGGCGGCCAGGGCCGACCACGTCCTCACTTCACTTTCAGTCTCCTCATCTTTATCGTCTAACACATTAAAGTCTATTTCATCGTCACTGTCATCTTGTTTCGACCGCCACAGATCGTATCGTCTCTTATTAAAGTACAGTGTCACTATTTCGTGTCCTGAAAAGTAAAATAGTATACATTTCAAAATTGAAGCGGAAAATACCTGCAAGTCATTAAAAATCAAAAGTTTACAAAAACCAAGTACGTAAAACTTTAGTACACAAAATATAGGTACATAAAATCACATACACATAAAACATATACACAAATCAAAACTCCACAAAATAAAGACGAACAAAAAAATACATAAAACACAAATATATACAATTCAAGGATATGAACACAAGTAGTAAAACAAATTACATTACACTCCAGTACATAAAACACTGTACGTAAAAAACACGTACATAAAATATATAAATATATTTAAAGATGCATAACACATATGCATAAAACCAAATTACATAAAACATAAGTACATCAACACAAGTACGTAAAAGATACGTTATTACGTAAAAGATACGTTATTACGTAAAAGATACGTACATAAAACAAAAGGAAATAAAATATGTGAAACAAAAGCGCATGTGGTACTAGTACATTAAACACAAGTCGATAAAGCCTAGGTATATTAAACAAAAGTACATAATCCACAAGTGTATAAAACTAATAGAGACTATATGACTACATGGTCGGCATGATATGTTAGCCGCCGTATCCGAAAAGTGTTAACAATCTATAATCGGTGGCATTTTTGAAATGATAGTCAAATCTCCAACCATTCAATACAGAGGGAAACAACAAAGGGAAACAACCAAGGGAAACAACAAAGGGAAACAACAAAGGGATCCGCCTTAGGGATGGATTGAGTAGCTTGAGGAAGACATGTTCTATATTCTGTCCAGAAGGTTCACCACTGTATATTACCTTCTGGTGTATCACTGACAGCGTCTTCTATGTGAACCATATTGTGATGGATCAGTCGTTGGAGTATATTCATGACCTGTGGGTTAAACACACGTGACGTGTTAGTGTTAGATATTTGGAAGTTTTATAACAGAGACTTTGGGAGGATGCATCATGTATTGCGATTGCTGCAGGACATATTTACGTGAATCCAATACACAATAAGTTGAGTAATTGTAAGCAAGCATGATTATCATGAGAAATACTTTGTTAACAAAGAACATACATGTTCTTATAGAAAGAACATACATGTTCTTATAGAAATATATTGTTTTAAGGTGAAAACATAGTAGAAAATATCTTGATGTGTTACCTCATACCCCTGGGGTCCAGATGACAAGTCACACCCACAAATGTGGACTTTGGAATCCTCTGGATTTATTTTGCTAACCATATTGCTTATTTCCTTCCAAAACCTACAAAAAGGACATTCTGGTCAGTTTGTATACAGTAATAGATGATGAATTTCTCTTTCTTCTTTGAAATGACTTACTTTAAGCAAGGCAGATTTTACTGAGATGTACTGTGAATGCACATTGCCCCTGCTCTTTAATCAAGTTCACAGTAAATATGTTATACCTTAATATTTTTACCACGTATAGTTTATATAAAACGGTAACACCGATAAGTGTTCAAGTTGTAAAAAATGCGTAATACTTCTACATGTATAAACCTACATCTGCAAAGTGTAATAGGGCATCTATTTTGTCTTGTAATTAATGTTTTGTATTTGCATATGTTGTCTGGTGTGAAAGATGGTGTAAGGACCTTTAATGAATCTGCCTGTGTATGTGACATGTACCTACCTGTGTGTGCATGTGAGTGGGTGAGTAAGTTGTTATGATGACACCTGACTAAGGACGGGCCATACGATTGGTCAGGACGGACGCCTCAGCTTACCTGTGTAAAGGCTTTGGCCAACTTGGACACTCTGCTCTTGACCAGCTGAGGTGAACCATACATTTATTTTGTTGAATTTGGGGAAAACTTGTCAAGTTTTTAGCTGGTAAGTTTTTACTCTATTTGTTAAAAAGCTTTTTGTTCATCTATACCATTTTTTGTAATTCAATTGTGGTTATGTAATTTTATCATTTTCTATCTAAAAGTAATTGACATTTTATCATTGAACAAATTCAAGGTCAACGTGAAATTGAGTATGTAAAGATATAAGTCTTTGTTAATTTAGCTTTCTATGAATTGGTATCAAATCCATAGGGGTCAAATCATTTATTAGGGATATTTATATTCTTTTAGTGTATAGCTCCTGGTTGAACATCAGACCGACTTAATAGAGAGGAATTGAGGGAAACCTCCACACCATAGCTATGGGGTGAGTGTTCAATAGGTCTAGAATGTTTTAATGGGTATAATACTATGTTTTTATCTATAGAATCAAGTTACAGATTTAAAATATTGTAGATTTAAAAGGATCATTGTATAGGGTAAAATAGGTATGTTATATAATATCATTTGTCAATAGAGTTATTTCCCTTTTACTATGTTATGTATGCAAGTATGTGAGGTATGTTCGGTTGCATGTAAGATTTATATGTTGTATTTGTTTAGTCAAAAGTGGTTTTTTTTACATGAGGAATACATATATACAAAGAATACCCGGATCCTGGTTGTTTTGTGAACCCCGGTAACAAAAGTACACTAAGTATACTGAGTAGCAAACCATGTACAAGTTAAACAAGTAAGTAGCGTAAATTATACTAAATCTTTTTAACGATGTACGTGTTACATATTGAGTAAAATATACTTACTCCCTCACACTCTTGTACGATTCCTTTTTCAGTTTCTGCGGTGTTATGACGAATTTCCGAAGTATATACAAGTATCCCGGTCCACCCTGAAATAGGTTATTTGAAATGCAGTACATTGTTGGTCTGCTCTGAGCTGATGCAAAGAGGCGACGAAAAGGGAATCGAACAGCAAGTTGAAATAACCGATAGAAATGAACAAATTGCATTTATGCTTAATAACAGGAATATACATGTGTATATATGTGTTGACACACCTCATAATAGAGATCAGACACGATTTGATATATTTTCTTGTTTGTTTTTTATAATTATGACATTTATAAACGGCTACCTTGTATAGACGTTTGACATATTAAATGCGGTTGTAATCTACTTTAGTTCGTTTGTAAACTTAAAATTTGTTTTACTCCTACATGAATCTTTACAACAATGAATATGTAAATACTTAAAAAAATATATAAAAAAAAATTGTCATTTGACATAATACAAATTCCAGACAGTGTAACAGTTAATTTGGTAACCACCTTGTAATTAAGCGATTATAGCTGTGTATCTTACTGCCACCTGAACCTTAAAAACGGTTATGCTACATTTTCCGGCTGCATTTTCAATTTCAATCGCTAAATTCACCTTTCGTCTCCAGGCCAAATCACCACATCATTAACAGTACGCATTTCTCGTGGTAACCCGTCCGTGCTACCAGATTAAAAACCTCAATTGATCGATGTACCTCACAACAATTTATGTAGCCATGTTGTATAAAAGGTGAATATCCTCACGGGTGAACATATTGATTAAATTGTTGAAATTAAATTGATGATATTGAGATTATTTTCACGAACTATATGTTTTGCCGGGCACGGCCGCGTGTACTCGTGACGTCTCAAGAACAGGTCCTATTGACAGAGAGCGCAAAATTTGACTCTGAAATACGATAACAGGCTGGAAATATTAGGAAAACTTAAATTAAAAACGGAAATATAAGTATTGAACTACCTTCTTTGGACAGTTATATATTGTGTCGCGTTAACGCGCGTTATTCAATTTTTCTGCAATCCTGTGAGAATTATAGGACACTTACTTTCCAATTCCAAAGAAGGCAGTTTAATGCTTAAATAACCTAGGGTTGAGATGGGGGATTCCCCTATTCATATAACAATGGTATGACGACCCGTCAACATTTCAATGACGTCGCGTCAACAATCCATCAACGTAACACCAGCTCTGAAGTTAGCATGTAACGTTAACATTACTTTGTTTATATGATACTTAATGGGAAAACTGGGCAAGAAAAAATGAATAATTAACCCCCTTGTGGGTGAGATAGGGGAATCTTCCTCCTCGGGTTGAGATTCCCCTATTTCATCCACAAGGGGATGAGAGATTCCAATAACCCTACACACTATTTCACGTGAGGTGGATTTGGAACACTCCGATGCCTCGGATTTTACCAAATTTGACCCCCCACCCCCAACCCGGGTAGAATTCACCTATCCTTCACCTCTTGGCATGAACGAGTCTTAAAGTCTTACCTGACATAATATAAGGATCGATTTTGCTTTACAGCCAGGCTTCACGCTGGACAGTTTTTTCTCTACTGCATCTGTAAATAGATGGTCAACTCTACAGTGGAAATTGCTTTCTAATCACATAATTGTAAGAGGGAATAAACGCCGGCGGCCGACCTACACCCCTGTGGGTAACGACACACTCAGATCACTACATCTAGTAATTATATCTAGCGAAAACAGGAAATATAATTTACGAATCTGAGATTAGATGAGAGACGGTAGGTTATAATGGAACAGGTTTGGCATCTTCATAGAGGTCAACAAACTAAGCAATATCAACGGGTTACTCATGCTTACTTATTAGGGTTATTTTTTATTAAAAAAAATATATATATCAAAACATATACACACGTATATACTTTAGATTTTTGTTCAAATATTTGTCTTGACTGTAGAGTATTTGGTTTTAATGAGAGGAGTATTGCAAAGTCGATAGTGTTACGTGTATATGCGTCTCGTGTTTATTATAACCTTCTACAGAATATCCTCAATTATCTGATTCCGAAATTGATTATGTATGTTAACGTATGCACCAATCTCTGCTGCATTAATGGTGAAGAAGATACCAATTTGCTAACTTACCGATAATTAGCGAAATAAAAACATTAATAAGTTTCATATTCAATATAAAAACAACTACAGCAACTACACTGGACGCCGAACCGACTACGTCACGTGTAAAATAAATACGGACATAATTTCATTATAAAGCATATTTTATACAATATGTAATAGCAACGGGTACCACTGTGGACAAATGGGCTATAAAACGAGAGAACTAATCAAATTAAAACAGCTGACCTTTTACAAACATTAGTATTAGATCGTTATATGAGATACACGGCGCAGAATAAATTGGTTAGGATACAATAGACAACATGATATCGAGTGATATTTAATATTTTACGAGATATTTCGTGTCCACTGAATGCAACTAGGCAGTCCAATTAATCGATTGTGAATTCTTATTTATTTTTATTTTTATTAAACCGCATAACAAACCTCATCCGTTAAATTCCAGGTGTTACGCTCACTAATGTTAAACCACCGGATATGTTAAGGCGAAATCGAAGTCAGTCAATTTTACCCTCACGGTGCCGCACGATTATTATGATGAAGATGAAAGGGCCGAGCTATTTTTATAATCCACAATGTGCATGTACTCGATGTCGTCATGACATATTCCAAGGGTGCAGATCGATGACGCATGAAAGAGTTAACCTTCAAACGCCTAGGTCTAAAATACATATGAACAACGAGCTCCAGTAGGGTAAGTGTTCCCTGCACATGTCATGATATTTACTGGTAAATCATAATGTCATCAATAATCTACTAAAGTTAACGAGGATGCTTCTATTAATAATATTCGGCTTATTTAGAAAAGAGTGGTAAATCGATTGTGACAAGTCCAGGTGTAAAGGATTGTTATGAAACTACTGAGGAAGTTTCGTGTCGTGAAATTGAAGTCACTATGTGTGATCATAATGTTTGGTTGTCCGGTAACATTAACCATTGGAAAATGAGCAAATAGGAGCTCGAGAGAGAAGAGGATTGTGTGGACCATACAATTCAAGTAAAATGTAAATACATTCGACGAAATAACACCATGGTAACACAATCACGCTGTACTTACTTATAATATCACAAAAAGACCACGTGTCAAAATCCTGCAAAGAAAAAACAAAACATTTGATGGCATTTCAAATATGTGCTGAATGTAACGTATGGTCGTTAATATTTCGCTTTGTAAGACACTACTTGGTTTCCTCGTCACAATGTTTAAAAACATTTGAAAGAAAAGAAAAAGTGAGATAAAAAGTAAATTAAAACCATAAAATTACGAAATTCAAAGATAACAGAAGGAGGTAGAATTTTGGTCCCAAACCATTGCCCTCTGATGTTCACATTTTCTTACCAGTCTCTAATACAAAACTTCTACATGTATATACAGTTGTAACCGTCAACATCTACAATGAGTCCAAAATATTTCAAATGATCATAACAAGCATGCGGCAATGCAGAGTTTGGTTTAATGTTATCGTTTACTATATCTAACGATACTTAAATAAATATCAAATAACAACGTTAAGCCGACAGAGAAGACCGACAAGGTGGTAAGAACTATCAGTGGAGAGCTCTATAAGTATACTTGTATATGCTTTTCAGTATTTGTTGACGGGGGTAAGGCATGCCGTATCGCACTGAATGAACCTAGGTTACAACTATTTGGACCGTGTTGAATAGGAAATTCCTCCTGTGTTCTATACTGAGAAAACATATCATATAACTGTGTTATGACGATATTGTATCAACGGCAAGTGAATCAATCTCCATTTTAACGGTACATTGGCAAATGTTGTGTTCAATGTTATGATACATATTCAATTAAATATACAAAGAGTGGTGTTGGTGTTGTGATTTTGATGCGGTTGTATAAGTCTGATGAACGATAACACGTCGATCTTACTACATTTAAACCATTTTTTTGTTATCTCAGTGCTTTATTGAAGTTCATCGATTTCTTTTAAACTTTACCTAATAACGAAGACAGATTTACAACACTGCAATAGCAGTGATAACGTATTGTTCATTCAGGAGTTTCTATAAAATTTAGGGTTGGTGAACGGTAATAGGCGTCCATCAGAGACACTGATAGCTATACTTACATATATAACATGTAGGATATTCTTATCCTCTAAGAGCACCTTCGGTAGGTATTGGCATTTAGACATTTTTGATGACACAAGCTGAAAACAATAAACAATAGATTACTTTAAACAATGTTATATGATGGTTGTCAGAATATCATGATGAGAGTGAACATTCCTCGTGCAAGCTATCAACAATCTTTAGGAAAGTTGTTGTATTGGAGGTAAACCCATAATGCATGCATCGATATTGCTGTACCCTCACACAGTGTATAGAGATTTGCGACGAAATGATCTGCCTAGCGCGACCGTTTAAGTAAGACAGGTACTCCAAAACTTTTCAAAGCTGATTCGTTCAAATTTATCTTAGTACAATATTGTATTTATTTAAAATATGATTCAGCATATTTGATTTGCTTAAATGAGTTCTAAATATGTCATCGAAATCCAAAGAGTGCGCTCTCGATACACATTTCTTCTCTTCACCCTTGGAATACGACAAAATTAAAGATTAAACATAGCTTACCACCAGACGAGGGGGTTCGTACGCACTGCCAACTAAACTTCGCTCTGTTTGCTGGGCTGACATCCATTGTGTCGTCTCTGCTTCCGTGAGGCAAAACGTCACCTTCTCAAACTTTTGTTCTTTAATAGTAACAGTGAGATTAATATTATTTTTGAAGATGATAAAATGATACATGTATATTTACTTGATAGCTTTTTTCTATCTTGACCGAAGTTTAACTGTATAGTTATAAACGTATCCCAAGGGTTGCGATATCCCTGTCTGAATAATGTTAACGTCGTTCTTTTTTTATGTTTAATTGATTTCTAAATAGTTCTTTTTCAAGTAAGCAACCATGTAGAAATAGTACAGCGTATTTTACTTTTTGTGTCTGACGATTGCTGTCGCAGTTTTCACAATGTCACCTTTTGAAATTTGTGTTCCATAGGGACAACAGAAAAGCCAAATATGATTAGTGTACAACCTGCTAATATTTGGTTGTAGAGGAGCAAATGTAAGGACAAGTTTAACCTAATGACACCTTCACAACCTTTTCCTAGAGAGCGATTGATAACAAAACTTATCGCAAACTATCCCTCTGAAACCTTTGTCCTAAGAAGGAAACAGTAAAGACAGAAGTATTCATAACGCCAATACCTAAAGCAAATATTCTGTAAGAGCATTTGTAAAGATCACCGCATTCATAACGACACCTTTTCAAAAACAGTGGTCTGTCAGTATGTGACCCCAGGACTGCTCATTAGGGTTTTGTGTGTATTCACGGCTTTTATTAGCCTATAAGGTGCAGGAATATGTTCCCGCATCAACACCAACATCATTAATGTGTAAGGGAGAGCCCCGGTCCTGTAAACGAGTAACAGACGTAACCTTTCGACTTGGAGGAACTTTCAGTATCCGACATGTCTTGGCGGCTAGGGGAAACGTCTTGCCAGGGACGTGCCCTCTCGTGTCGCCTCCTTTGACGGGCCGAAACGTCACGGCAGTCCTGGCAAATCAGGGAGTGGTCGGACGCACTCAGAAGATGGGAGCCATCACATGCGTCAAGGCGCGGCAGTTGTAAGGAGTTCACTGATTTCTTCCCGTTCTTCCGTCCATCATTTGAACGCTGGCATTTTCTGAAATGATAAAAGTAAAAAGGTTTTTATCATATTAACTCAAAACGTATCACTGTGAATAGCAAAGTTTGCAAGATTCTTAAAAAGTGCTTCTATGGCTAACGTTAGGAATCAAATCTGCGCCCAATGCTTAACTATTGACAAAGAAATCGATGCGACTTACATATATCAAAAAAAGAAACACGTTCCGGTTATGCAATGCTATATCTCATCCACAAACATCTCAATCACAGGTTATATCGAACTGTATATTTAACAGGTCTAGAGTCTGAATGAAGCGAGTGTTGACAAATACAATATGTAATAGCCGGTCAATGACTATCAACAATGTGTATTGCACTACTATTCTGAAATGCCATTGGTGCCTTTTCTGTGGTGAAATCCGAAAATTATATGAACATCTGATTCCCTCGAGCAAAGGAATCGGACAATTGCCATATTTGCATCAGTTATCGTATATATCAGTGGTTGTTTAGACGGAACTCTAGGGATTTCGGCGAATACCAAAAACCGATACTGTATACACGAACAGTGGTAATTTGATAATGCCATACTTGTTTGCATTCCAAACATAAAAACAAGCCACAGGGTTGTGTATATTGAGATATATAACCCTGGGTATGCTTGTTGTCGCCATTAATAACTGGCACTGACCGAGATCGATAGACCCTCTCCTCCACAGTAGGCCAGTGTTCCCGTCAATGTACCAATACTCGCTAGAACTAAATCACAACTCCATATACGTTACTGTCACTTGTACGTGTATGTGGATCGTCGAGGATCACATGACGCAGCGCTGAGTATAAAAAGTGAAGCTATAAGTATGAAGTTGATACCATCGGGTCCCAGGTTTTCCGGTTCAAATGGATAGATTTACAATTACACATGTTCAATTTTCATATGGAAAAAGAACGAGTGTCTGGCTCCTAGACCTGCAGATTATGCCGGGTTAGGTGACTGAAAAAGTGTATATGTGTTATTAATTATATTTGCACTACATTTGCTAGGAAATTATCTGAACTCACTGACTTTGATCTTTACAAAGTTCGTATGTTAATTTAAAGATTAAAAGCTGCCATGCCAGCCTTCGTAAAAGAAAGTTAAAAATTTGTTTTGCTAAATTTGTTCTTAACTTTAAATGTTGAAGAATGACATTTTGTGACACACAGATGAAAAAACCCGACTTCAATTAAAGTGATTAAACTGAATAGGACGATAGTTCGCAGACGCCGACGCTTAGCTGATACTTCCACGATGTGCCCACTACAGTGTGTCTTTACAACAGGCTATGTATTTCATTCATCGACTGTTGCGAAGTAGCAAACTTATTGTAGTTAGACAAACACTTTTGAAAAATCGCATCATTGGCAGATTTTAACATGGAACCTGTTAACGTAATTAAATCGTTTCACATAGACTCATCGCTAGAGTCCCTATCTCTCCCACAGTCACGCTCGCCTGATGCCACATGAACAAACACGTATTTAATCAAATAACCAATACCAAATGCGGCATCCCAGTGTCCCGGGCAGTACAAGCTCTGAAGCTGTTTAAAATATGCCAGTATCGTCCTAGTACACTTTAAATTCTCCAAAATGCAAATACAAATGCATATAGCACGTTAGCAGATCAAACCAATTCGAATATGCAGATTAGTCTCAACGTCTTTATTAATATGGAAAAAAATCATTGGGAATAAAGTGTGTTACCAATATTAGTCAAAAACAGTATCAAGATTGTCTCGAAGAATTTGCAATGAACATATAAGTACACTGTACATGAAAAATCCTTGCTGTTCTGTTATACGGATTTACGGAGAGTCTTGTTCATTTTCTAAGCGTACATTTTACCCATTGTTATTGTGTTTTGATAAAAGCTATTTAATCGATCATTGTTAAAATATTTTGCATTTAATAAGACAACGGGAAACACGAATGTTACAACGGCTACACTTGCAGTGTCGAACGAAATATCTTTCGAAACCAACCGACAAAACTTGTCAATGAGTCAATCAAAAGCCATTATGTTAATCTTGAATCGCAAAATTCATAACATGTCGTCTGACGTAAATTATACCCTATGGATCTGTATGAAAATAACATAACTTTCCCAATAGAACTCCAGACTCGAGTTACAGGTATTGTCTTAGCTAATCGAAATTAACGAATGCCATTTTCAAGAATAAGAACGTTTAGATTGAGTGCGGATTTGTAGCAAAATCTTTAGATATCAACAATGCTCGAAACTGAGAGTGATACATTCGAAACAAAATATATCGGATGTTGCTCTAGAAGCTGCGCTACCAGTAGTCTCAGATAAAGGTATAAAGGCGATTCACCAATATGCTCTGTTACCAGTAGTCTCAGATAAAGGTCTAAAGGCGATTCACCAATATACTCTGAAATGCAGCGCTAAAGAAAGATATCGTTCTTTTACAGGCCTGTTACCATTAGTCTCTCGAATGTGAATCTAAATTTGGTTTAAACCAAAAGCGTATATACATACCAAGGGACACATACTCCTTTTGACATCCCCAGTGTAAATCCACTACGATTTTACCTAGCTTACATCAGGCTTGCTTTGTTAAGCATCAGTCGACAAGCGTGTGATTTCATTACGAGTCGTATGTCACGTTAGACCTAATTCAGGTAGTTTTGAATGACTGATATTTCCCCGATACAAACCAAATTACCACGCGTGGGATGTGTTGTCATACAGTGTACGTTGTGTGACGAGATATGACGTCAGTATGGCACATGAAGACAAAACTAGGTTAATATGTACAAGGTTACCAGCTCCTCTACATTAACAGATGACTCTCCCAGAACCAAGCACCGTACACTAAATCGACATAACTAAATTTAGCGTGCCTTCCCTGAACGGTATTTTTTTTTTCTGAATTGCATCCGGTACGCAAACTGACAACGCTGGGAATAAGAGATGGGTCTGGCACCTCCAAACCATCGTGCCTCTTGTATTTAGTGAAATGCATTACGATGACATTTTATACGACACTGGCTCCTTCTCGGCACGTGTGATTGTCTCCATTACGTGTTAGATCAACACTCTTCTGTGATGGTAGGAACGTTAGTCAGTACAATTGAAACATGGTTTTTGTGAGGGTAAAACGGTAGTACTGTAGGTAGTGCACAGTCAATGTGATTGTCTTAAAAAATGCTAAATTTCTGTCAAATAAGCGCAATAAACACCAGGTCTCGAATTTCGTGTTCCTGATTGTGTCGTTGATTCACTAGCTGGTAATGTGGGTTTACAGTGTAGGTAGGTGGTTTATTACTGATTATTTCTACTTGGTGACAGAGTTGAATTGCCTACTACTGTTTACAAATAACTGTCACGGCTTACATTAGACTATCACACATACAATGGCTCAAACGGACCTGACAAAGTATGTTTTATCCATAGATTTGAATTACAAATATATATTATTCATATATGTGTATACTGTGTTAATTCAACGCCATAAATACCTCGAATTCCCGTATCATCCATTTCAGGGAATATTGATGTCTGACATGTGTTTGGCGATCCCTTTCTGCCGTGTTAGCTCGTTTTGATAGAATTTTCGGTCACTTTACCGATAGAATATCCACAGATATTATATACAGACTCGTGCCATCACATTTTGATATTTGCAAACATAAACAATATACGTTGTTGGATTAGATTCAAATCCCATACTATGGTTAAACCTCCGTAGAGGGTGTGATATATCTACAAAATAGTTCATCAAGGTTAACATACGACATAGACAGACGTTCGAAATACATTTTAATAAGTGAATGTTAATACATTAGAAATAAATGAATGTGTCACACAGCAATTCAATAACTGTATATATTCAACCACTTCACAAGCCCTAAACACATTGCAATCAGCAAAAGCCAGTGATACTTTACCAGCGATACTATACGAGTGACACAATACTAGTGATACTATACCAGTGATACTATACCAGTAATATTATACCAGTGATACTATACCAGTGACACTATACCAGTGACACTATACCAGTGATACTATACCAGTGACACAATACCAGTGACACAATACCAGTGATACTATACCAGTGACACAATACCAATGATACTATACCAGTGATACTATACCAGTGATACAATACCAGTGATACTATACCAGTGACACTATACCAGTGATACTATACCAGTGATACTATACCAGTGACACAATACCAGTGACACAATACCAGTGACACAATACCAGTGACACAATACCAGTGACACTATACCAGTGATACTATACCAGTGACACAATACCAGTGACACAATACCAGTGACATAATACCAGTGACACTATATAAGTGACACAATACCAGTGACACAATACCAGTGACACAATACCAGTGACATAATACCAGTGACACTATACCAGTGATACTATACCAGTGATACAATACCAGTGATACTATACCAGTGATACTATACCTTTTATACTATACCAGTGACACAATACCAGTAATACTATACCAGTGAAACAATACCAGTGATACTATACCAGTGATACTATTACAGTGATGCTATACCAGTGACACAATACCAGTGATACTATACCAGTGATACAATACCAGTGACACAATACCAGTGATACAATAACAGTGATACTATACAAGTGATACTATACCAGTGACACAATACCAGTGATACAATACCAGTGACACAATACCAGTGATACTATACCAGTGACACAATACCAGTGATACTATACCAGTGATACTATACCAGTGATACTATACCAGTGACACTATACCAGTGATACTATACCAGTGACACAATACCAGTGATACTATACCAGTCATACAATACCAGTGATACTATACCAGTGACACTATTCCAGTGACACTATTCCAGTGATACTATACCAGTGACACAATACCAGTGACACAATACCAGTGATACTATACCAGTGACACAATACCAGTGACACTATACCAGTGATACTATACCAGTGACACTATACCAGTG